GGGCCACCGGCCATGAGATCAATCACCCGGTGTCCATGTGGGGCACCTAACATAGAAATCTTAAGATTTGTCTATAAGAACATCCCAACGGAGAAACTTGTAGATGTTTCCTTAATCTCAAACTGGAAATTATGTAAGTGGGACAATCAGACTAATATAACCACAAAATGCTTTTCTTAGTTGGTATTGTACTAGAATTTACTTGAAAGACCTCTGTCGATCGAATAAAGTATTTCTCAATTCTAGGTGATTAATATGTGATGCAATGTCACCGTAATCACTAACAAGTTGCCCATATTGACCAATTATCAAAAGGCCCTATGTTCATGACCAATCCATGGGCAGTGAAAGCTTGAAAGTTAGACCCCAAAAAAGCCTTGGATTTTTCATTAACCTTGGAGGCAAAACTAGGTGTCAATCAGTGAAGAGCTAGCCAACCTGAAGTTAATTACCTCATGGCAGAAAGTGGCATTGGACTAAGTAACCTAAAATGATTTGACTATCATCACATTGTGGGCTGATCATATTAGTGATCACAACATTTCGGCCTCGGTATTTTCGGTTCCGGCCTTTGGTTCTAGGTTTTTATGCTACTAAGAGCATCTCCAACAGTCGCGCCATATAAGCGCCGCGCTGAAAAATTATTGCTTTTTGCGCGCGCGCTACCGCTCCGGGTGCTCCAGCGGACGCGTAAAGATCGCGTGCGCGGCATATCCAGTTCAGCGCGCCGGCAGAAATGCCATCGCGCGCCGCTTATTTGTTGCATCCGCTCCCGCGCGCTGGACTCTCGAGCGCTCACTCGCAACTCCACCTACCCCCATCTAGCCGCTGGCGCCGCCGCCGCCCGCACCACCCCATTTCTTCCAGCGACCGTTCCGGCGCTTCCCCGGCCTATGCCCGTGCCGCCGCGGCTTCCCCCGTCTCCCTCTAGTCAATGCCGCCCGTCGCGCGCGGCAGTCCTCCGACAAACAGTGCAAGGCCGCCCACTGCCGCTCGGCGCCCGCAAGGTGTTCGACAAAACGCCCGCAAGGTATGTATTGCTGCAACTTCACATTTTTTACATGAATTTGGTGCATGTTGTTTGTAGTTTTTATAGCCTAATTTAAATTGAACATTGTAAATGAGTTCGTCGTATGATTCTTCCGAAGAAGAATTTGATATGGAAAAGGAGGAGGATCTTGCAATGATCCTAGCTATGCACATCAATAAAAAACCAAAGCACGGTGGTTCGGTTATGGGTCGCAGAAAATTTAGATGGATAGGATCGATGCCCACAATAGATTGATGAGGCACTATTTTGTGGAGAATTCTACATACCCCAAGTCGTACTTTCGTCGCCGGTTTAGGATGAGCACCGAGTTGTTCAGGTGCATTGCGGAGAAACTAGCGAGCCATGACCGGTTTTTTTTGGCAAAGGAGGAATGCCGCCGGAGAGCTCGGGCATAGCACCTTTCAGAAGGTGACAGCCGCTTTGCGTATGTTGGCATACGGTATCCCGGCTGATCTAGTTGATGATCACTTGGCCATGGGTGAGAGCCAAGCCATCATGTGTGTCAAGCGCTTCGCGGTCGGAATTGTGCAAGTGTTTGGCCTGGAGTATTTGAGATCACCCAATGCTAAAGATGTCGCAAGGCTATTGGAGACGAACAAAGCTCGCGGCTTCCCAGGTATGCTTGGCTCAATAGATTGCATGCATTGGAGTTGGAAGAATTGTCCAAAGGCATGGCATGGGCAATTCTACGGCCAAAAAAAAAGGTTTCACTATAATCCTTGAAGCGATGGCCGATCAAGAGGCTTGGATTTGGCATGCTTTTTTTGGAATGCCTGGATCTTTGAATGACATCAACGTTGTCAACCGGTCACCACTGATGAATAAGATTGCAAATGGTGAATTGCCACCGGTGCAGTTTGTAGCAAATGACCGTACATACAACTATGGCTACTATCTTGCGGATGGCATCTACCCAAAGTGGCAAACATTTGTGAAGCCGTTGAAAAAACAAGAAGGTAAGAAAAATCTTGATTTCCATAATGCTCAGGCGGCGGCTAGAAAAGATGTGGAGAGAGCTTTTGGGATTTTGCAAGCCCATTTGCTATTGTGAGAGGACCGGTTAGATTTTGGGATCAAAAGATGCTTTGGTACACCATGCACACTTGTGTGATCATGCACAACATGATCATCGAGAATGAGTGTGGTCAAGATGTAGACTACTCTCACTATGAGCTCTTGGGACATCCCATGCGAGTGCGGCGGAGGGCTGAAAGGGTGGTCCGTTTTGTTGCTTCCTATCATGTCATTCGACGTCCCGCAGCGCATGCTGATCTTCAGAAAGATCTCATTGTGTGGTGGGCTTGGAATGGCTGACAAAGAGCATCATGATTTGTGCGTTTGATGTTGTATTACTGAACTATTTGTTGTATTGAAAGATAAACTATTTGTTTGAGTTGTACTAACGAAATTGAACTATTTATTGTTAATTTATTTTGTTTGTGTTTGATCTTCTTGCGCGTGTTTGAAGTGCAGATGTTGTTTGTGCGAGAGCGCGCGCTGTGCATTTTTGCGCTCTGCATTTACCACGGCTGCTGGAGCCAGCGCTACCCGCCGCGCCAAATCGGGCAATAGGCGCGCTGCAAACTGGTTTTTAGCGCGTCGCGCGTTGGGCGGCTGTTGGAGATGCTCCAAGATAAAGCTTCTCCTGCTATAAAGACCTGACTAAACTGAAGACTAGTAAGTGTTTCCTCCGGAAGTCCTAAAGTTCAAGGACTGAAACGTACTTATCCCTTCTGCTAGAACAGATGCGAGAATTTAAAAGCGGCGCCTACACATTGGAGGAAATAATTCTAGTTACGGCCATGCTGATCGCCGATCGTTGTAGGCTTATAGCCCACCCACAGTCCTCATAGTAACCTCTACTGGATGTAATTTTCAACAGGGCGAACCCATTTTCATCAAACAGACAAAAGGAAACAATATTTTGACAGACATCGACTCGACTTAAAAGAGATAAAAACAGGCCAGGAAAAACCCTAAGATTGGCCTTCTAGCGAAAGCCAACCCTGGGATGAAAAAACCTGACAGTCTGACAAAGTGCTAATAAGTTACCAACACAGGAAGGTCAAATAGAATATTATAAAAGCAGAGAAGAAGTGACGACACGGCTTCAGTTCGTCGAGGTGCCCTCTCCTCCTGGTTCCCCTGCCCGGTCGATTTTCTGAATGTCATGTTGAAAGCCGCTGGCATTGACGCCCTCTTCCTGGATGACAGGAGTCGTCATGTTGTTCTGGCTTCCTTGGCCTCTATGAATCCTAACAGGTTTCCTGCATATAAGTTTATGAGATACTGAGTTTAGTTAGATTCGGAAGCAACGAGGATGAGAGGAACTAAAACGGAAGGTTTCATGACCAAAACAAGACAAAAATTAAAATCGAGAGATCTCCCAATTATAGTATATATCATACCAAAAATTCGAGTACTGCATTTGGATGTGCTGCATTATTTTTTAGAACAGAATAAGCAACAGCTTGCACACAAAGAAAAGAAGAGGAACAAAGGACATGAAAGTTTGCTTAGTCATACCTATAGGAGGGTCCCCTAAAGCCAAATATGACATGAGGAGTCGCTGGATGCTTGTTGATAGCCTTCAAGAGCGCATCCCGAAGAGCTGAAGCTAATTGAGGATAAGATCCAGGAGCGCCATCGCCAGGGCCACTGCTATATATGAGCCACCTAAATCCATCATCTTCACAGATATCCACAATGAATTTCTTGAGCGTCCCCAGGTGCTCTATGCCTTCAAGTACATCACCGGATTGCCGTGCAGTTTGTAAGCAACACTGTATAGTGAGGCTCTGAATCCTAGGCATGGCCCCTACCTCGAACATGAGGCAGAGCACTTTACATCTGAACAAAAATTGCTCAAGTTTTGGGAACGCTGCACGGCGGATGACAACAACGCCCATTTCCGGATCATGTTGCAGAACATGCAACCTGAGGTGCAAGAGGGAGGGCATCATGGCAAGACCCTCGACACCATCACTTGGGAGAGACCGAACTGAAATCTCCAAGCTTCTAACATTGTGGAATTGGGTGATCCAATCTGAGATAGTGCAGAAGGGGTAGGCCACCATGTGGAGTCTACGGAGATAGCTTGGAGGTGGCGACCATTTAGTGAAGGCATCACCATGAGGAACATATTGGTACCGATACCCATGGATGGTTAGAGATTCAAGGTTGTGGAGCCTGCGAAGGGAGGAGACTAGCAGATCACTGGACGTGTCCTCTTCATGATACAACCAACCTAATAAATGTATTAGAATCAGCTCCCTAAGATTGCTCAGCTCACCAAGACCCTCAATGTTCTGCTTATCAGTTGGACGTATGTTGACTACAGCAACACGGAGGGCTTTCATCCTGTTGATACAACCACCACGAAGCTCCATGTTGTACGGAATAACCAGATGCTCCAATGAGCAGGGTAAGTCGTCAACATCAAATGATCCTTCTGCTTGATACGTAGAAGATTCGTTCAAGGTCATCATCTTGTCGACTAAATCCCTCAATGGAAATCCTTTTCCATCTACTATCTCCAGTGTTTTCAAATTTTGCAGTTTTCGCAACTGTAGTATCATTTTCTGAGGCCAACAACTGTTATAAGTCCAAGCGCCTTTAATGGTCAGATACCTCAGCTGGAAAAGGGTGCAAATGGGCATATCATAATCGTCAGATACCCTAGTGAAGAAACCATGCCAGTCAAGATGTAGAACTCGCAGGAGTTGGAATCGCGAGATAGAAGGTATCCGTTCAGAAGGACCCCAAAAGTTAAAAGACCTAACTTGGGTGAGAACCATGTCCCCCAGAATGTGGTTGCCTTCTGAATGTCCGACATGGAGCGATAGCCGACGAACTTTCAGACGGCCTTCCGCACTATTCAGGTCATCATTCTTCTTTATTCTGCGAGGGGTGTCATTGATTACTGTGATAAAGTTTTCTTCTCTGGACTTCAGTATGATAAATTCAACATTAGATCATGCACCCGGCAAGAAAAAATATCCCCACAGCCGTCGAAATCAGCTATCTGGATCATGTTCTTGTTGATGAGCTCACTAAAATAACTTTCTGCAGTAGTCTTCTCTGAGCCAAACCCATATTCTTCAGTAATTAAGCCCTCGGCTATCCATCTGTTCATCAAATCACACTTCAATATTTCAGAACCTTTAGAAAATATACCGAGATATAGCATGCAGTTCTTAAGGCCCAGAGATAAATTATTGTAGCCAAGATCAAAGACATATCTCATCCATCCGAAAGCAGGGCTTTCTTTCATCTGCAAAGCTAAATCCCTTTGCATCTCCTCCCAGATTTCCTTTGAGTTTACTTCTTTGTGACTAGCCAAAATGCTAGCTAGACTACGTATGGCTAATGGCCATCCTCCACACATCTTTAAAAATTCATCACAAACATTCTTCAGTTGCTCAGGGCAAGTATCTTCAGATTGAAAAATCCTTCTACAAAATAATCTTCTTGCCTCAAGATCATCAAGAGGTTTAATCTCGTAGACACTTCCATGTAAAGGCGAACAACATGCCTTAGCTACATTCTCAATACGTGTAGTTGTTATGACTCTACTACCACAATTACTCTCCACAAATATACATTTAATAACATTCCAATCTTCCACTGTCCACAAATCGTCAACCACGATTAGGTACCTATCAAACAAAAATATTCAATTTGTCATGCTAATAGTGTAAAATCACAGCAGATTGCCAACCTGCAGCTTTTCCAAACGCTGACGTTATATACTAAAAAAACAATAGCGTAATACGTATAGGGAGTCAGGGCTAATAGGAATTTGAACGAAAATAATATCTAAGCATATTGTAAAGGGTGCAAATTGTATCAGCAAAAAGTTATGTGCATATGTGAGACTTGTAAGAACTATAAAATTAACCTACACTTCAAAATATTCACAAAACATAATTTATGCAGTTTCTGTGTAAATTTGATTAGTGCCAAGTTCTTTATTTTTTTATGATGGAAATTTTATTTGGTCGCTAGGGAAGTTCTATCTGGTTACTTTAAATGAAGGGTCCTAAAATTGATTCGTGGTTAACGTTGAGCTATAGACCAGTCTAAAGATTATGAATGTGATATCCTTGTTAGGTACACCCTCTGTTCCTAAATGTACGGCATTTTTGCAGTTCAATGTATTACATTTAGGAATAGAGGTAGTACATAACTGACGTAGCTCCTACACTAAATGGGATGCGAGCCTTTGGTAAAAACCCACAATTAATTACGAATATACACTACTGCTCTCTGGATCAATACTTGTTATGAGTATGCAGTTTGAGCCTTACAATTAGCCTAGAATAAATGATGAATCACAAAAACACAAAAATGGCTCTGCATTGTACTGTACATATCTACCCTTCAACTTATGTGCACTCAAGAGTGTGTACGAGATTTGTCTAAATGATGATTATACCCAAGTAGCCGCGAATACCAATGAACCTATCCCGATTCTAGCGAGTAGAGCACAAAAGGTTGACATGTGACAATTAGTCCACAAAGGTCCCATGCACATAATTGTGAACCATATAAAGAAACGCACTGCAGCTACACTAGGTAATCTTCTACAGCTGATTGAGTTACTTTCAGTTAAAATGAAACTTTCTACTACTAATTGTTCATGACTGAATTACGCATGTTACCGTACCTTTTCCGTCCGAGAGCTGATCTGATGCTATCAATGAGTGACTTCGGGTCTTTCAGACTTCTATCCGCATATAAGTCAACTTTACTATTTATATCTGACAAAATCTTGCCCATGTTGGAATTTTGAGAAATTGATATAAAAACGTGGCTATCAAATTGGATTTTAATCTCATGATAGACTTTACTGACAAGCGTACTCTTGCCCATACCTCCGGCTCCAACTACAGCCACCACTTTAAGTTTTTTATCCTCCATACTTAGCCACTTGATGAGCTCTGTCTTTGGACCATTTATGCCTACAAGGCTATTGTCCTCTTCATACAGTGCTTGCAGACGAGGGTCAATAATAACGGGGCGATGGGGATATCCAATGCGTGCACCAAGATCATATCTTTTCTGGCAATCGCTCATTTCCATCGCCCGAGCCTTCAGTTCTTCGATTCGGCTGGCAACCTTGTAACGTGCCTTGAGATCCTTGAGTCTTCTCAAGAACCCAGCCTTCTTGCATCCACCAGCAAGGCCATCCGTAAAGATGTCGATGCAGTCCTCCATATCATACGACAGGTCACGCACCTTCTCACGCCAGTCTTTCTGTTGCTCGGACAGATTCTCCACCATGGACAGCTCCACGAGCAAAGCATTCATGCTGCTCATCTCATTTCTCAAAGAGCGGATATGCTTCTTCGTGCCTCTAGACAGCTTGTACTTTTTCTCCAGCAACGTGGCAAGCTTGGCGAGGAGCGGTTTCACCGCTCCTGTCGCCGCGCTCGCCATAACCACCTCCATCGGTTGCAGAATCTTGTTTCCCACAGTCAGCCAATATCATCACTTCCTGTCCATGTATGGGTTAGGAGGAAGCGTCAAAGTGGTGTATTGGCAAAGCACAAGTATATAGAACTCATAGCGTAGGACTCACGATTGATATAGTGGGTAGTAATATATTTGTGGTGTCATGCAACATTTTATTTATTAGGTTGTACACTCATTTTGTCTTGGCATGTGTGATGTTGTGGTAACATATTATGTTACCACAATCTTTTTTACTTGTTAATTACTTGACAAATCGTCTATTTTGCCTAGATATGTGTGATGTTACTATTTATGTTACTCACATTATGGGTAGCCTCATGCAGATGTGAAACACATGCACCTGGAGCGCAACCAGAGGCGACATGATCGATACCATATGACCATCATTGATGGATGGGGTTCACGCTTGAGGCTTCTCGTAATGTGTTATAACTAGTATCATGCATGCCAACTAGACAATTTGAGTGAGGTGGCATAGAATTAAATGAAGAAAAAGAGGATTGAGTATCATATTATAATATGACACCGTGTCATAATAAATCCTATGCTATGGCAGTAAATAAGGTCACGATAATATGATATATAATACTATGCATTATCGACGTAGTATCATACACTAATATCATATGTCTGATACTTCCTCCATTTACTTGTATAAGGCCACTATGAAATATGCATTTTACATCTTTACAAGGCCACTAACAATAATCAAGGCAAAAATTAATAATATTTTTTCATACTAGCAACTTGTTTAATACTTGTATGCATGCAGTCACAATGACACTCAGCTACTTTTTCCATTCACTTTTCTTGCATGCATGTGGCGTATTAATCATCCCAGTAAACGAGAAAAAAAGTTGGGTTGCAAAACATGCATTAAATCTTACCTTGGTACCTGAAATTTCAGTTTGTGGGGCGGCCTTGTATATAAAAATGAAGGGGGTACTAAGGCTAGTCATAGTGAGAAGTAACTTAGATTAGTGTCATGCATATGACACTAGTCTTTGTTACTACCTTCGTAGTACAAAGTAACGTACAAGTAGTATCATAGATGATAGCATTTATTACATTATAGACTCATTTTACTTTGGGTTGCATTATGTTACAGTAACATATTAGGCTAGTCATAGTGGGGAGTAACTTAGACTAGTAATATACATATGTTACTAGTCCATGTTACTACCTTCATAGCGGGAAGTGACACTTCCTGCTATGAAGGTAGTAACATGGACTAGTAACATATGTATATTACTAATCTAAGTTACTCCCCACTATGACTAGTAATATACATATGTTACTAGTCCATGACACTTCCTGCTATGAAGGTAGTAACATGGACTAGTAACATATGTATATTACTAATCTAAGTTACTCCCCACTATGACTAGCCTTATGTTACTCCAAACGCCTCTCTCCTCATTAACTATATGCCATAAAAGCTAACTTGTCTTGGAATGCGCTATATCACTTGCTAAGTTTCTCTCACTATAACCAACCTAAGTTATGATATTATACCCATTATATGGGCATGAGATGAAGGAGGGGAAGGAATTGGCCGGATCCGAGGCCATGCATGCATGGTTGTCACCGTGTGATCCTCGCTAGGATTGGCCGACAGGTGCTGCCCTGGCAGGGTGGGGGCCACTAGAGCAGTCAACATAAGATGTGCAACAAGCGGGGATTTGGCCCGCTCCTCCTCTGAAGCTTGGAGCATAGCGCAGTCAGAGCAACTAGCAAAGCGGAAGCCTGCTCCAGAGAAGAGTTAGCCGATAGGGCATGATGGGGAGTCCGGATCAGCGGTGCCATCAGAGCATCTCCAGCCGTTGGCCTCCCCAGGATGCATAAAATCCCCTCTGGGGGCAAGCCGGCGACACAATCGGCGCTGGGGCAGTTTTGCATCCAGTCGTCGCCCCCAGACGCCGAAATTGGCCCACTTTTCAGCCCTTTTAGCGAGTAAAGGACCCATATAGGCGAGAATAGGCCCATATTCGGCGTGGTTCGCCGTAGCTCGGCGTTCAATTATCAATGTAAATTTTTTCTTATAACATATTTCATCACAGAAAAATCAAATACTTCAACAAAATAGTACAACAACAAATAGTTCAATACAAATTATATAGTTCAACAAATAAAAGCTCATATTTCATCACACGTCGCGCCCGGTGTCCCCCTTGAGCCTCCATAGGTGCTCAATCAGATCTTTCTGCAGTTGATGATGCACCTGTGGGTCTCGGATCTCCTGACGCATACTGAGATAGGCAGTGCAGGTTGCCGGTAGCTGGTGATCAACTTCGGCTAGAGGACCCTGCCTGTAGTATGGTTCAGTGTAAAACACTGGGTCTTGTTGCTCGCTCTCGATGATCATGTTGTGCAAGATGACACATCAAGTCATAATCTCCCACATTTGATCTTTCGACCCGGTCTGAGCGGGGTACCGGACAACAGCAAATCGAGATTGGAGCACACCAAATGCCCGCTCGACATCCTTCCTGCAAGCCTCCTGAATCTTCACAAACCAGGCATTCTTGCCTCCTGGCACAGGGTTTGAGATCGTCTTCACAAATGTCGACCATCTCGGATAGATGCCATCAGCTAGATAGTACCCCTTGTTGTAGTGCCGCCCATTGATCTCGAAGTTCACCGGAGGAGAATGACCTTCAACAAGCTTGGCAAAGACAGGAGAGCACTGCAGCATGTTGATGTCATTGTGAGTTCCTGGCATACCAAAGAAGGAGTGCCAAATCCAGAGGTCCTGTGTGGCCACTGCCTCAAGTACCATACTATAACCACCTTTGGCGCCTTTGTACATCCCCTGCCAAGCAAATGGGCAATTCTTCCATTTCCAATGCATGTAGTCGATGCTTCCAAGCATCCCAGGAAATCCTCTTGCTGCATTTTGTGCTAGGATCCGAGCAGTGTCTTCCGCATTGGGTGTTCTCAAATATTGCGGTCCAAACACTGCCACCACTGCCTGACAGAACTTGTAAAAGCACTCTATGCTGGTGGACTCGGCCATGCGCCCATAGTCGTCGAGTGAATCACCTGGAGCTCCGTATGCAAGCATCCTCATCGTTGTCGTGCACTTCTGGATCGAGGTGAATCCAAGTTTGCCGGTGCAATCCATCTTGCACTTGAAGTAGTTGTCGAACTCCCGGATGGAATTCACAATTCTGAGGAAGAGCTTTCGGCTCATTCGATAACGGCGCCGAAATGTTTTGTCGCCGTAAAGTGGAGCATCGGCGAAGTAGTCGGAGTAGAGCATGTAGTAGCCTTCGAGACAATGCCGGTTTTTTGCTTTCACCCGCCACGGCGCCGAGCCACCTCACCGCGGCTTTTCATTGCTCGCCAGCAGCTGGACGAGGGCGGCGAGCACCATCAGATGCTCTTCTTCCTGGACGTCGGCCTCGGCTTCCTCCTCCAGCAGCGCGGCGAGCGTTTCCTCGTCATCCGAGTCCATCGCCGAGGCAGGAAAATTGCCGAACACCTTGCCCCCCGTGGGCGTGCACCTGCCGCTAAACTGCCCCTCCGCGCCCAGAAACGGCGGCCGGAAACGCCCAGCTGCTGTTGAAGGGGCTGCCGCTGCGAACCTCTGCTAATTTTTCGGCGGGGATTGGCTATCTAGCAGTGAAAGGCGGCGGGCAGCGTCGGGATATAGCTAGTGGCGGCCAAGGGCGCGGGGGGTGGAAGGCGAGTCGGGGAATAAAATCTTGACTTTTCACCTGAGGGTGTGGGCCAGCCACGCTTTTCCCTTGCGCCGGAGCCCCCGATCGCCCCCCCCAGTGCGCCTGGTTCAGCCTACGCGCGCCGAGCAGAAAAAAGGGCCGAACCGGCGCTTTACGTCGTCCTAGGGGCGCGACTGGGGCTTTTTTTGGCACCGGCGCCGAAAAAGTGGCCTTGGGGGGCCTGTTGGGGGCGCGGCTGGAGATGCTCTCAGAATTGACGTCAGGCGGGGGTGGTGGAGGATGGGAAGGGAAGAGCAGTATGAGGAATGCTGGACTTGGGTGGTCATGAGGAAGCGTCGATTGAGCAAAATAATGAATCCAATTCGGGTCGGTGTCGGCGAACTCGTCGGGCTCAACGAGGTCGAGTTCCAAGGATCGCAGAATGATGTTGGGGTTCATAGTCTAGGAAGACAACCAAAAAGCACCGCCAGAATGGGGAGAGCAGCGACACGGTCGAGGAGATTTCCAACCCATTGTTAGGGATGCCTCGGACCTTGATGTCCTCACTGGCCCTAAGTGAGAGCAGCTCGGCACTGCCATTCTGGTATGGCTGTTGAGGGTGGACTGAAAAGGCATCAAACACGGAGCGGAGGACGTCGACGAGGGGCTAAATTTTGTGATTTGACCCTTTTCCGAAACTTGATCGAGATCTGACCCTGCCTCGCAAAAATTTCGGGATCTGACCGTTTTCTTACCGCTAGGGTCCATGGCGATGAGCAGGTTATCGATTGTGCCAGAGAAAATCTCCCCTTGCCCCCGCGTCGCTCCCCCATGGGCGACCCGGGCGGCAACGCCAGATCCGCCCTCCCGCGCCCCTCTCTGCCCTCCCCCGCCGCTATCGCCGGCCGTAGCCGCCGGGGAAAAGCCCCTCACGGTGGCTAGCGGCGGGGCGCCTTCTCTTCTCTCCCCTCGGTGGTGGTTGGCACAGGGCAACCAGACTAGGGCAGAGGCATCGGGCGGGGGCGGGGCCTGACGACGCGGCGGCGGGGTGGTGGCAGGTACGGCACCGTGATGGTGGGGCGTAGGCTCGCGGCGCGACAGCCCGCTGTGGCGCCAAGTAGGGGTGGGGGGCTCCCGTGCGGTGGCGTGGGCATGGATCTGACCCTGCAAGCGCGGCCCTAGCCCCTCCCTGTGCGGTCAATGGTGAGGCGCCGAGTAGCTTCCGGTGGGTTGTGGTGGATGCCCTGGTGTCTCTGCTGTAGATCCGCCGATGGCGCGACGACTACCATGGTGGGGTGTGCATAGGCGGGTTTC